GATCCAGAGCCGCCCGTCAAGAGACGATGCTTGAGAATCAGAGAGCAGAACAAGTGAGGGTGAGTGTGTGAACACACACATGCTCATCACTCGTGTACAAATACTCTGTTTTTACAGAATGTCATATATATAAGGTTCAGTACCATGGTATTTATCATCACTATACCATAGTACTGTTAACGGCAAACTAGCTAACTCAACACAGACCTGTACATGCATTAAATTGTCCATGCTGAGTGTGTGTGTGTGTGTGTGTGTGTGTGTGTGTGTGTTTGTGGGTTTTCCCTCAGAATGGCGCCGGATGGAAACTCAATCCGTGTCGTGCCTCTAAAGTTGCATTAGCAGTGAAAAGAGCAGGAGAAACCAGAGACGCTCACGAGAAACACACACAATCCTGCCTGTTAGAGGAACGTGTGTGTATGATTGTGAGTGTGTGTGTGTGTGCGTGTGTGTGTGTGTGCTGCTCCAGATGTTGTTTCTGGAGGTTCTTCTGCATCTCATATTTCAGTTGAAATGAGCAGGTTTTATAGACCCGAGCCAGAGTGAGGATCTCTCTGTGTGTGTGTGTGTGTGTGTGTGTGTGTGTGTGTGTGTTACAAAAGAAAGAGATCTGAGATCAAACGTTCCTCCAGTAACATGTTATCTGGTCTTTAATAACGTAAGAACAAAAACATGGATCATGGAATGTTTCAGTTGATGTTTGTTTTTAAATGTAACAGTTTTTAAATGTTTCTTGTTTCAGAACGTTCAGATTCAAAAGTAACGTTCCATAATGTGTGAGAATGATACAGTGTCACTGTTCCCGTAACGCTCACAGAACCAAGTACACACACTTTACAACATTTATAAAACTCAGAACACATTAGTGTCCGTCAGGAGTGTTTCCCGCTGTGTTAACCGATGGAAAGTTTCCCTGTTTTTGGTGGCACTTTCCCAAAGCTGACAGAAACAATGGCAGGCCTTCATGTGGATCCTGAAGCTTGATTTAAAGATGATGGCTGATGTGGGATCAGATTCCTTTCAGATAAAGCCGATCAATCGTATGATGATCTTGTTTGAAGTGTGTGTGTCTGTGTGTTCAGTGTTGATTCTGGTTTTATTGCTGTAAGTCGATCCGTTCGCTCAGGGATTCACCGGAGTCACGACTGGGACTCTCATCCTGTTACTCTCTCTCTCTCACTCTCTCTCTCTCTCTCTCTCTCTCTCTCGCTCTCTCTCTCTCTCTCTCTCTCTCTCTCTCTCTCTCCTGCTTTCTCAAGGGTTTATTAGCAAAGCTATTGTGTTTTTTTCTTCATTATATTTTTGTGCTCAAACACAGACGCCGTACAGCGTGTGCATCATTTCTACACTAGGTGGCGCTAGAAGTCGTTTTTACTAATAGCCTAGAATTCATTTTCTCTGGTCCATTTGCAGTCATATACTTAAATTAGAGCTGGGCGATTTTTTCCCCTAAAAAAATCTGATTTACGATTCGATTCGATTTTTTTTAAATCAAGTAGAATTTCTATAACTCCGTGTGTTGAACTGATAATCACTCTTTTGTGTGTTAAACACAATCTGCTTAATACAGACAACTTCATTATAAAGAAAAAACAACAAATCCAAAAAATATATGATCATAATCTATGACAAAAATGCTATTATAAATGAGATAATTCAGCAGTAAAATTTAGTCTAGAAAAATCACAAGTGCACAATAATTGTATAAAATCTGAACATTTAGTGACAAAAACATTTAGTGGGGAACAAATAAGAGCACCAAATCTGGTAAAATGTTACATAATGCTCATGAAAAACAAGAAAACAAAAAACAAAAAGATAAATTATTATATAGTCTACTATAAAATTGAGACATGTTTTAAATGTATAGCACAGCTGTTTAATGAGGCAGCAACATATGATAGATAGGACAGAACAAGAAATTACAGTTTTTAACCGTCGCTAGGACACATTTCTCATAGGTCACTTTTTCAAAACTCTTCACACAGTGAGCACAACAGAAGTATATGTGGGCTAAACTGTGGATCATTTATCATTGCTTTGGCACAAAATGCATTCAATGACTACATCTTTCAAATTACATTAATTCTTTTCTCACTTCGACACAACAACCGCCAAAACTCTGTGCACACGCTTACACACTGTTTTCAAAACTGTTAAACTTAAGTTCAAAACAATAACATAATACAAAACTGAATAAGACAGCATTTTGCCACATTTCTACAGTAATATTGTAATGAAATATATTTCAAATCTAAAAATGAAATAGTATAAAAACAATTGGACATTTGGACCAACCACAGCTGATTCCTATTGTATCTGAATCAGTGGATGGTGTGTATACAAATTTTTGTACTTTGGAATTACTCCAAAAACATAAAATATATGTCGTATTGAAGCATAGGCTACTGCATCATGTCTAATTCATTCTAGTCACATATATTGCAGTGATTTCTAAACAGTAGAGAGGTAGAAGAAAGAAGGCATTTACAGAGGAAAACATTGTATAAAGTTTCCTGTTGTTAGTGTTTTTTAGGTCATTGTTTTGTGGGTGACAAAGTGTGTTTGTCGGCTGTCAACCGTTGCTAGTGTTCTGGAAGAATGTGTTGATTTGAGACATGTACGAAGTGATTCTGTAGTTTTAGTGCATTTTGAATGTGAAATGAACTGCTGTGCCGAGCTGGAAGTTGGTTAGGAGAACTGTGTGAAGAGTTTTGAAAAAGTGACCTAAGTATTGAGAAATGTGTCCTAGCGACTGTAAAAAACTGTAATAATCTTTCATAATGCGCAATGCGCATCCTCCCGAGCGCAGAATGATGCGCTTGAAGCAACACGGAGTCACAGCGCGCCGCGTGTCGAGTCCGCATTGAAAAGTTCAAAACACAAAGGAAATACATATTGATGCGTACAGTATCTATCTATGCAATCGTTTATGGAGCCTTTTTTTTTTAACAGTTTTAAATTGCAGTTACTGTGCGCATGAAGAACAATTATAGTGCTCTGACTCTACTCTAGTGTTGCGAACAGACACCCGGTAGAAAGTAACATGATTTAGTTACAGCAATAAAGTCCAGCAATATAAAGTTGTTTTATGCGAAACCATAGAACTTTATCTTCAGATCAAGTATAATAATAGTAACATTGAATCATCTTGGAGAGAGTTTCATCGTGTTGACTGTCGTACCCGAACTGCGCCGCAGGGAGCGTGCTACGGAAACACTGAAGGAAGATTTGGCGAATGCAAAATGAATGTACGCTATGAGGGGGAGAAAAAAATAGATTTTTTGAAAATATGAATCGATTTGACCTACCAACTCGATTTTTAAATCAAATCGATTTTTTTCCCAGCCCTAACTTAAATGTAACGGTTTTTAAATGTTTCTTGTTTCAGAACGTTCAGATTCAAAAGTAACGTTCCATAATGTGTGAGAATGATACAGTGTCACTGTTCCCGTAACGCTCACAGAACCAAGAACACACACTTTACAACATTTATAAAACTCAGAACATATTTTTTGTCACTTATGATTACTTCCCGCTGTGTTTACCGATGGAAAGTTTCCCTGTTTTTTTTTTTACTAGAATTAATTTTTAGAATTAATTTTCTTTTCAGGATTCTTTGATTAATAGAAAATTGATTTAATAACAGAATTCATTTTAAAAAAATGTAACAATGTAAAAATCCTTATCGGTCACTTTTGATCTATTTAATGCATCATTGTTGAATAAAATATTAATTTCTTTCAAGGTAAATCTTACTGACCCCAAACAAGCGGTAGATATCTGCTCACGTCTGTGTTTACGGGACACTATACAGAGCAATTTAACATGCGTTTTCTTTTAATATGTCATATTAGATATGATATGATAGCATTTCACACATTTGTTCTGCTCTCTCGGCTGTTTCAGGAGTGTGTGTGCCGTGGTGAAATGATGGAGACGAGGGGTGTGTGTGAACTCACGTTTACTCTCTGAACGACACCACAGTGCCAGTAAAGCCGAACCAGACGCCCGGCGCAGAGGATCATGGATGTCACAGATCAACCGTGTGTGTGTGTGTGTGTGTGTGTGTGTGTGTTTGTGTGTGTGTGTGTGTGTGTGTGTGTGTGTGTGTGTGTGTGTGTGTGTGTGTGTGTGTGTTTGTGTGTGTGAAAGTCTCTGTGTATTTTCCTGCTGAGCTCATATAAAGCCAGGCATTGTTCCGTACTGCCAACCCATATGTGTATGTGTGTGTGAGAGAGAGTGTGTGTGTGTGTGTGTGTTCAGCTGTGGTTTAGGATTACCTGACATACTGGCGCTTTTGGCTACAGGGCATTTTTAGACTTCGCCTAAAGAGTGCCAACTGCGCACAAACACACACACACACACACACACACACACATCGGTATATTCAGCTCCTAGGCGTTTAGTAAAACGTGTTTGCGGGAATTAAATATGCAGGAATATCTGAGAAATTCTTGCTTTTTAACCCTTGATGGTTTATTGAGTGCCTGTTATGAGTTATTGGCCAAAGTGATGAATGATGATGTTTGATGCCGTTGCCAACAGACACTGATTCAGAGTGAAGAAGCAGAAGGTTTCACAATGTTCTTCATGATCTTAACAACTTAAAGAGGGCCTATTATGGGTCTTATTGTTGTTGTTTCTCTACTAGAACAGGTTTTCCTGCTTGAATGTTGATTATTTTCCTCATATTCTCCATTGTTGCGGCTCCTCTCTTCCCAGTCTGTCAGTAACGCTCTGTTTACTTCCTGTCTCTATGAAGCCCCTCCTTCTGAAAGCACACTGTGCTCTGATTGGTCGGCTGGAGCAGTGTGTTGTGATTGGTCGAGCGCTTTGAGTGTGTTTGGGAAATGTCCCGCCCCTTTCCATAACCACCAGTTTAACACACTACTAACTAACTCAACCAGGCCCCGCCCCTTTATTCTGCGCATTGATTATTATAATGAGGAATATTGTGAGGTGTTCGTTCCCGGGAGAAACTCAAGACTACAATGGAGGCGTTTCAGGAGTTCAGAAACACTGACACTGATATAGAGAATAATCTATTTTTCTTGCTCAAACAGAAACATTACACACTAAACACAGATGAACATGGAGAAAAGGCAGAATATGAGAATTGATTATGATTCATGTTCCTCCGTCAACAGTGTTTAAAAGCTGATGAACATCAAAGTAAGCAAAGCGTAATTCACATTTGTGTTATTTCATAAAGTTGGCATGAAGTGAAAATTCACCCTGTCAATTTTCTAAATGCATGTTATTGTGAACGATTCATCTGTGTGTTAAAAATGTTTTGACATGGTAATGTTTTATCAAAATTGTCAGACTTCTCCTAAACCCCGCCCCTTCAAGCTCACGCTCATCTGCATACACGTTTGAGCCACGCCCACATCTCAACATCCAATCAACAACATGCATTGAAACAAGATTTACTCTTGTTCGATAATCAGTCGCACAAGATCCATTCGAAGCATAATGTTAGTGTAAAAAAAACATTGTATTACCATGATATCACACACACGTTTATATGATATTACATGATATTCAAAAGCACTTCTAAGAATACCATGGTAGCGTCTCAAATATCAATATTAATACAATCAATGCCATAAACAACATCAAACAGTGCTGATTAAATGAGTAACGCGTGCCTATTATTAATGCTCAATATTTCACACTAGTGCCAACTGATGCATTTACACAAGGCCAAACTAATGAAATATCGGGGGAAACATAATTATAAATATCTTCATGCTCTTTTACGTTTATTTCATTGTGTATGTTTTTATTGCATCCATCCTGATTTTTATTCGATGTTTTTTGGATGTTTTCCATTAATTTAAATGTGATAAATGCTTTAGCATCGTCAGTATAATGACCTGTTATGAAGTTCACAGGATCAGTGTCTGTGTTATGTCATTTTATGAACAGAGAATTATGCTAATGACTAGATTTGTTGATAATAAAAACCCTAAACATCACAGTTTTCATGTCATTTCTTAGTGTGTGTGTACATGTGTGTGTATATCTCCTATTGATTTCCCAATAGATTCCTGGAAGACATTTAATAATTTAAAAGCGACTAAATATCTGACATTAACAACAAAAGGCTAAATGTACTACTAACTAAATCAAAGGGCTTTACATTTTTTTAGTTCGTAGAGACAGAATTAATAAAATTATTTAAATACTTAATATAACTATTGAAACCAACATTCAAAACCACTGCTAGAAAAAAAGGATTTCTGCTCAAATTGAGACCCGAGCCTCTCATTGGTTCTCTCGCCTGTCAATCAAAGAGCTAGGCGCGCCACCGTCGCGGTCTCGTGCGCGCGCAGGGACAGCTGTCATCGGTGCACGAGAGGAGCAAACCATCAAATAGCTTCATCCGTTTACGGTACGTTAACAATTCATAATTAATATTAATTCCACTATGTCCGCAAACCTTTATGTCTGTTTTTCGTGTGAAACGGGGAGAATAACCGGTTATTTCTGTGAATTTAGCTTGAGATGATAAACTAACAATCAAATATTTCAGATATGGCTTTTTGTTATGTTATGTGTTATGCATATGAATGCAGCTCTGACAGAACGACAATTATGTATGATATTATGCATTGCAATCAATGATTATAATATTAGAATATTTATATTATAGTAAATATCTGTTTATAGGTGTTTATTTATTCAATAATGGTGTGAGGGTTTTAGGGGGACAGTGATGTTTGATGTTATTAATAATATTAGAATATAAAAATCATAAAAGTAAATGTTTAAATGAGCATGTTAGGCTATATAATGAATGTAATGCTAGAGAATATGACAGATGGGGAATGAAGAGATGCTGGTAGTTATAGACCTGCATGCACAAACATGTGTGAAAACACCATCATCTTCATCATCATCTTCATCTTCATCATCCTCTTTGTGTGTGTTTGTTTTCAGAGTGTTTTTTTATTATGATACACAGATTATTGTTATTATGTGTAGTGTAACACAAGAAAAGAAAATAATCAGTGTGCTGTTGTCCAAAACCAGCTCTTTTGTACTCAAATATGTGTGTGTGTGTGTGTGTGTGTGTGTGTGTGTGTGTGTGTGTGTGTGTGTGTGTGTGTGTGTGTGTGTGTGTGTGTGTGTGTGTGAGTGAGTGTGGAAGAATGTGAGAGTGTGAGTGTGTGAGTAAGTGTGTGTGTGTGGGTGTGTGTGTGTGTGTGTGTGTGAGAGAGAGAGAGAGAGAGAGAGAGTGTGAGTGTATGGGTATATGTGTGTGTGTGTGTGTGTGTGTGTGTGTGTGTGTGTGTGTGTGTGTGTGTGTGTGTGTGTGTGTGTGTGTGTGAGTAAGTGTGTCTGTGGGTATGTGTGTGTGTGTGCAGTGATGTAAGCACAGTCAGACGCATGTTTCACCACGTCTCGCACATCACACACATGCATGATCACACACTGATGTCATCGTGTATTTGCATGATAAATGTTGCATTAGTCACAGGCTTTGGGTGT